GCAGAAAAATAGGTGAATTAATGGTATTGGCTAAGAATCTCGGTAAACTTCAATAAATTTTTGAAATGGGTCAAATAAAATCGGCTGTGTCTAAAACCGAATTAGCACAATTTGGCAGAAAATTTTTTTTAAAAGAATCGCAAAAAATGCTTCAATTGTAGTTGTTCATCAAATTTATTTTGTATTGCTAGCATGTGATGGAGAGCAACATTTTCAGTTTAAATAACAAAACATAAACAGTAGAGGAAATTCATTTCATCTCACTTTACAGACTCCAAACATCCTCTATCATAAATGGAGGGTACTACTTTCCATGTTTTTTTTGAACCAAGTGTATTTTCTTACAAAAAGCACAAGCGAAAGCAAATAACGTCCTAATTTTTTAAAAGAAACTTTTACGTGCCTTTTACACTGGCTCACTCAAACAACGGAATGCCAACCTTGCAGCATCTCAGGCAAGATTTTCTACCCATACAAAGTAGGTCTTTCAAATCCACAGTGTATAATGACCACTACAAAATATTATACGTTAGTAACTCGTATCAATACCACATGCGGCCGCCTCTTCTCCTGCATGGCTTACAAAATATCTCAGATGCAGAAGTAAAGTAAAACCGGTTTGTTGGTAGACTGACTAGTCAGAACCGTGACAACAGCTAGTAGTCTATCATGTGATGAATGACGCTGATGTCCTTCTTACTCAATATGTGGCACTAAGGAACACAGTTGAAACATTTATAAACCTTAACACGTATCGGTGCAGTCTTTGCATTATACAGCATGACTGCCATTAAATTTGAGATGCAGGCGCAACACATTTTGTTGAAAAATACATTAGCAACTTGGATCATGTGACGGCTGCGAATTACAAAATACCTCTAGATGTCTTCGAATAGTAGGGATTCATTTTTTCGCTATAGCACGAATGCGCAAGCACACAATGTATGCTACATCATAAGAAAGAGTATTGTCTACTTACCATGTTGGGAATGCTTCATATGTTGCAATATGTGCTTACATTTGGAAAAAGGCCTTCTGCATTTACGACATTGGAAGGGGTCTTGACCTAGCAGATGACAAATATGTAAATGAGGGAATGGTACACTAATAAAAGAAATTAATTCCTCCTAGAGACTGTTTTTTGTTTATTTATATTGATTTAAATGCATGCAAAGTTGGAATGCAACAAAATAATATGAAACAATATGGGGACAGTGGAGAAAGTATGCATTTAGCGGTAGAAACTGACATGATTTTTGAAGGAATGAGGATAAATTAGTTAGCGATACCATGTTTCGTAGGTTTTTCCAAGAAAAGCAGTCAAAGTTAGCACACACCGAAATGAAGTTAAACGAAACTTATTAAAGCTTCGTCACCATTAAACACAAGTCTCTTTCTTAACGAAATGTAGTTTGGCCAAATAGGACGCTTTTTTTCTTTAAATCTTCACTCTGACTCAGTTATCGTAGTCTAATTTAGTAAGGCTAAAACAATAAATATTCCGCATCGCTTCAGTAAAAGCACTTGTGCATGTCACACTTTACGGGGGATGCCTTCACATTTTATTACAAACATTGAAGTTATCAATCATTGTAATGTCTACATCGACCCCGTTTCAAATAAAAATTGCTATTTTACCAGTAAGGTAGCCATTAAGATCATTGCCTTCATTCAGCTATATGATTATGAAAATCACTTGGTTGTTTTGAATCAAAATAAAGAAGTACTATTTTTTACAAAAAAAAACAAAGTTCCATCAATGATACAATTCATTTTGTATGAAGCAGTAAGTTCACGCCAATAAGAACAAACAAGTGGTATCGATGACCAGTTCTACCATACATCAATATTTGTCAAACAAAAAACGAAATATGGAGAGAAGGAGAAACAAACTAGGAATTTGTGGTTTTGCATACACTTTTAAGAGAAAAGCAAAATTAATCCATAGTTCCCATTAGAATGATTACTGGCTGATAGAAATGTAAATACAAATTTCCACTCAGTTTAATAATCATTGAACACTGGTTAAAGATACTTCTCTTTTAAGCAAGAAGCAGTCCGTTTGGAAGCAGTATGAGTGTGCTTGAGTGCAGACTACTAACGTGACCCTCAGTTAAGAAGCCTTTTTACATTTAACCTCTTCTGACAGCTTTTTTCGGGTTTGAAGTAGAGCCAAACCCATCGACCTTTCAACGCAGGTCATGATTTGTTAATAAACCATTTCAGATATAAACTACAGGAGTTTTATATTGTAACTCATTGTGTTTAGTCGAGGTATGTAGTACAAAAGGATAGTTGAAAAGGCCATCGCCGCATTTACCATTCCTTCCGTTTACATTTGTGGTATATGCTCGACTAGTTTGTCCATGAAATGTACAGCTGGATTTGGAAGCATGGGACCTTTTGGGGCTAATGTCCGTACATCTATCTGTCTCTCGGTCTACCTACAATCTATCAACCTCAAACATCTAAATTAACCAAAAGAAGGAGATAGCCATAGGTAAGACAACAGACGTAAATCGAGATGGAGTAACCTAAATATGGACAACAGTCCGGATAGAGTGTTTAATAGACAGATGTTCTTCCTGTTGATTAATACTAAGAGCTTGTAGAATCTACGGTCCTAAAATTCGCATTTAGACTGAAAAAACAGCTGGTGTTAGTTCACTTTGAGATAGAAACAAATAAATATGAAAGCCTTCCTTTACTGTTTTACTTGGCTAAATAGTCAGAAGCAACTGTAATGGTTTTACTAAAAGATAAAAAGAGTGTTTTTGCTATTTTTGCTGTTCCTATTTTACTTATTACATACGAAGTGCTGGCGTCACTAAAGGCTAGAGTAGTGGACAAAATTTAGCTTTCGCATTGCAATTGCTTTAATTGCCGTGGTTTAAGGTATTCACTTAAATTTTTTCTTCTGCCTTCCTTTCATATCGTATTGGCCATCTTTAGCCACCTCAAACTCCCTCTATCTATTAAAGTATTATTTTTTGTAATATAAGGCATCATACGTCTCAAAACTATCAACAAAATTTGAATTTAGCGAATAAGAGGGCCGGTCATTAGGATACGGCAGAATACCAATTTTGGAGGCATTGAGTGTTAATGCTGGTCAAGAAGTACCCACTGGTTAATAGCTGCCTTGATGGAGCAAAGGGTTCATAAAAGAATGGAGGTTAGGTGATGTCTGCTAGACCAGAGATTCAGCATAAGTGAATGTACCGCATCGCATTGCTAAGCACCATCTCTTATTGCAAGGTGATGAAAGTGGCGGCCTACAATCGCAGCAGAGCCTTCAAAATCCTAGTGGTTGCGGTAGTCATGCACACCTGACTCACGAATGTTGGTGCTACACCAACGTCTAAACAGAGTAGCTGAAGAGACGAGGGCGTATCTACTTGGCACTACTTCACCAAGGACTGCTGCATCAATATTTCTTCATCGACACTCTAATATGCAACCATGAGGTTAAAGAAATTGCAAAGAAGAGCTAAAACTACGTATCTGCAGTAAAATTTCGTGTGGGTCGAGCATTTGAAAGCTATTTCGCTCCTTTTTATTAGCTTCACTGCTTATGCATTGCAGAACATCTTGCCACATTATGCCACATACCCTCTCAACTTCTAAGCAGTGCTGAGTTATACAGGCACTTATGTTTCCACAGATTGTGCAGTTCAATTTCAACTATTCGACCAATCAGCCTCCTCAAGGTGCTGCTCTCTGATCGACAAAACAGCGTGAGTAGTAATGAGATACTCTTGGTGCTACGGAAACATTTTATTTTAAAAACTACCAATTTGGAGGGCTTAATTCCCCTCGATTGCTCACTGAATGTCCGGTCGGTCATGCGTCTCCAAGGGGAGATAACAATCAACGCAGGGTATAGTATGCAGTATGTAAAACATGAAAAACAGGAGTAGTAGATCTTACTATTTGGAAATCACTCAAAGATAGATGCAGGAATTCCTGGAAGATTCTTTCTTTCTAATTGTAAAGACTTACACGTCAGTGTTAGTTTTTGTACGTCAAGGTTGATTTAAAAATTTTTTAATGATTTTTATTACAAATAGTGCAACACTGTTTATCCTTACATCAACGGCGAAAGTGTCGGTTCCAAACGCCATGCATGCATGGGCATAAGTGTGATTACATGTTTGTAAGCGCTACGCTTCTTAGGCGCACAACATTGCATTCCTGGAAGATAGTATCTACTTTCAACGCGCATGTTTGAGCTGAAGTGTGTGGTGCTTAAAAACCGTAGAATATTCCTTTCTTCGCAAAACACTATCATTTTCTTCGTCTTAGTGCGACATGTAAACCCAAATGAGGTCTAGTAGGAATAATTGGTTTAACCATCAGGTCCGTGGTAGTTTCCGCTTGGATTTTGTTCATTTTCGTTGTCGTTAGGTGTTGTTTTTAAGAAAATGCATTTACACATTGCAATGCAAACTGTAAAGCTGATATAGGATTTTCATTTACTCATTCACCCAAGCGCAGTTTTTATTTGCTCTTTCCTTCATGCTTCATTTTGAACCTGAATGTTTCTCCTTAAATTTTAACGTTAGAAAAGGAATGTTTTTTCCCAAATGCAGTCAGAAAAAGGGCTTTAGAAGAATAGAGAAGAAGAATAGTTTACTTAATGGATTAAAGTAGAAGGCATAGGTAAAGAATTGAGGCAGATTAGTTTTTGTTGCAAACAGATTTCCAGGTTTTGATTGCCAAAATCCTGCGATTCATCATCAATGTCAATCAAATTTGTGTTCCTTAACTCTGACTCCTGTTTATAGACTAGGAATTTGGACATCTGATGGAAGATAAAGGGGGCATATCAAACTTAAAATATCGTGCTTGCCAATTTCCCAAATCCACTTTTTCTCTCGCTGATGTATGATCTTCAGGTAGTGTGACGCATTGGCAAAAATCTTAACCTAAACTAGTGATTTTACTTTAATTAATTACTAATCTGAGCTTTTAGCAGAAGTTTTTTAAAATAAGGCGAGCTATTGAAATATTAGTAAAAGGAATGTTTTTTCCCAATTGCACTTACAATGAAAGTTCATTTTCTTGTTAAACAGAGTACTAAAACTTTAGCAGAAGTGTACAAAAATTACTCTTTTTGTAATGATTTAAATGATAGGGAGGTAGAATTAATTTTAAATGGCTTATCCCTGTCAGCACATATGCATAAAATTGGTGCCGTAAAGTGAATGGTGTGAATGATGTAAATCCCTCTCTTGGCAAACTGCAAAATAACTATTCTTTCAGGTACTAAGGGAAAAGAGGGTGCCATGACATCATGGGCCCTCCGTCAACCATCGAGAAAGATGAACGATGCATCACAAATACTACCGCAGCAATAACGACAAAGATGCCGGACGCTAAAATGGTTGTTTCTTTTATTTGCAGAATTTTCAGTGTAGTGCTCATAACGGTTCATGGCGATCGAGGCACTAATTTTTAAAGTCGAACTTTTTCTGAACTATGCAAAAGCTTTGGGATTTTCAGGTCATGCACGCTACTTGGACATCCTCAAGGTAATGAAGCGATAGAAAGGACGAATTGCGGTCTGACTGGAAAATTAGGGCTATCCCTAAGGATGCACAACTGGAAGAAAGGAATTAAGACCTCGGACGGTTTAATGCCACTTTGCGTACAGAGCTACAGTCCAGATATAAAGCGGTTTGCTACCGTCCAAGAGTGCACAAAGGGATTAAAAGAAAGCCCCTAGTTCTGAATCAGGCCAAGACTGCCACCTGGAATATACCGTGATCTTCATTATTCGCAAAGCGAAGATGCGTTTCGAGTGATGAATGTCACCCCATCAACAATCTATCTGGACTTACTAAGTAGTTCAGTACTCAACTGATAACTGGTCATTGAAGCATAATATCCTTGTACAAAAGTACATTAAATGTTAGATACGAGGACGAAGTTTACGCACTAACAGAAGAAAGGAAACCACTGTTAATAGTATGCTCAGAGAGCACCCATGATGAGAATTTCGAGGACTGTGCTTAAGAACACAAGGAGGCCAGGCTCAGTAATCCCCAGAGGAAACAGTGTACCCTAACCACCACACTCCGTAGATAGCATAATATATTCAGCGGTGATGCCTGCAAAACTCGAGATAACCTTCCTTCCCCAACATTTTTATTTCCCTATTTTTTCGAGTATTCCACCTTTTAGTTTTCTAACTCTGTGACTTTATAGAAGATTTTACTTTATTTCGGAATTTCAATCACTGCAGGTCGTTATATTTCTGTTCACTCCCTCCTCATTCGCATATACGAGGCTAAACGGATAACCACTCATTGGCCAGGATCATTCAACGCCAGAATAACGCGTTAATTAGCAAGCCTAGCAACCAGGGTAGCGTCCGCATTTTGGACAATGGGTCATCCTTTTGCTAGGTTTGTACATTTTTGCGTATCCTTGCTCGCTTGTTCATGCACAGCGGCGGAAAGGATACCTTTGGAAACGAATAGAGGGCTGATAGCAGATGATAAACGATGGGAAGGGACCTGTTTTCGGTGCAGTTTCACGTGAATGGAAAGGAGAGAGGGGTACGTGTTCTGCGAATGGCATCTTGACCAACTGCGTTAGCAATGTGCTTGTCGCGACTCAAGGTAGTAGATGACGCGTATCGCGATGATACCGAGATATCGCCCAACGGCTGAATTCTTAGGGAGTCAACACACATCAACCTCCTCTCCGACTAGCTGAAGTCAACCTAATCTAAAAAAACATTCCAACCTGCTTAAGTAACGCATGGGCAAATGTAAGAAAAAGAAAACTACCTCCCAAGGTACAAGGTCAACAACACTACACATGGCAAACGTACAGTTCGTAGGAAGTGGTGTTAAATAAAGGATAAATTAGAAACCAGAAGCACGGGTAGAGAAGAAGAATAATATTTACTAAAATGGACAGAGGAGACCATTATCACTGCAGCAGAAGTCAGAAGAGATGCGCAGAAGGCGAATGGGAGTAAGGATTCAAGATGTTCGAGGGGACACTCATAGGTGGTGGAGGCTTGGCGAAACACGGAATATAGTGATGTCTGAATAATCACTGAGGTGCATTTAGCTGACCTTAAACAGCGGTGTGTGTCGAGTCAGTGGAAATACAAGTCAGATTCGCTGCAAGAGTTAGTATTAGGGTTGAGGTATCCTTACATAGACGGGTATGGCCAGGTTTGGCATGGATCTACCACTCCATCGTTCAACCAGCCCCAGCGCATAGGCTTGCACACCCAAATGCGTTAGAGACCAACTATTTGGACTTTAAGTAGAGTTACAGCCTTTTCAGTGACCATTTACTCGGACATTTGTGTGGAGAAAGGAAGGCAAGAAAGAATGGAAGGTGTAGTGAGCCAAAGTGCCTACCATCCTAATAGACTTCCTTACTGGCTGTCCTTCACTCCAACAGCCTTTCCATTGTCTTAATGGGCAAGTAGACCAGTGGTAGTTGGATGGAAATGGAGAGGAAGGTAACACAAAGAATTGCGGCATTTAAGCCGCATAGAAGGATACCGAGGTTCTACTTCTTTTACCACGTAACATACATTGAGAGGCTGAACCCAACTAGAAAGGGAAGAGTAAATGTGCAGAAAAGAAGAAATGCAGTTCCACTTACACAAAGCTCTCCACTGCATGTGTTCGACATAGGCACAGCAGTCACACCGTCCTTTGCTTCGGTATCTACCAGCGTAATCAATAAGTGCCTGCTCACCGCTTCCGCATTTCATTCGCAGTCGTCTTCTTCTGCCAGCGACTCTGATCTCTTATTTCCATCTCAAGGGGTACTTCGTTCCTTCAAGCTTCAATTAACATTTCTGAATAGAACATGAACCTGACGCGGAAACACCAGCACTTCAGCACCGAAAGGTGGTCAGTGTAATGCCTGCGCTTCACTATCAAGTGCAACCGGATGCTTGCAGTGAGTAACCTTAACTTTTCATTGGTTATCTGCGCACTGACACCAAATCGCGGAGAAGGTGAGCACGAGTGGATCCCCAAAGTACGATTAGAGCTGAGCAATCTAGTGGCAGCCTAGAATAGGAAAGCAAAGCGTCGGAAATTTTGAAAATACAGGAATGGAAAAATAGAAATAAGAATATATTCTGGGTGTTATGAGCGCCTTCAGAGTTCGTAATTTGTCCATACACATTTTTTATTCTATCGAGGGCATTTAAGCGTTTACAAACAACAAACGCTCAGCTTTCAATACTCTAGTTTGTGCAAACTGACGACAACCTGAGATGGAAATGTGAGAGTCTGCCCTCAAATTTGGGGATACGAGTGGCCCATCGGAAATGCCACAAGAAGGATCAGATCACAAATGCCTCAGGCTAGCATTAATGGTCTTCAGTCAGTACCTGGATCATTACTTTTTACAAAGAATAAAAGCGTGTTTGGCATAGTGTACCTACTTAATTTCTGAAAGCGTCTAATTACCTAAAATAAGTTTGTCACAGACTGACAGGCAGGCACACAAGGTTATCTTTAATAAGAGTTCACCTTTTCTTTCTTTGCCCCAGAATCAATGCTTACTAAATGGCTTGAAGGGTTTTCAGTCAGCTTAGCCTGAAGCACATGAGTACTAGTTCTTCTCTGCACTGTTTGACTAAATACTGCCTTGTCATCTTGGATTTTAGTCAGTTGGAAGTACTGCAGTTGTTGGGTAATAACGCATCAGAGGGTATATAAGTAATAAAACCATTAAAGTGGCAAATAAACTAAATTTATGGAGAGGTATGCAATAGAGGCTGCACAGATGCCAATGGCTTATTACCTGCTCCGATTCAGGGGCAGCAGTTAAAATGAATGGAGATTTGTGACCCATGACAATGTGCGTCGCCGCGTGTGTATATCGGAAGAAATTGTGAAAAAACTAGACGCTAGCTCACGACAGCCAGAAGGCCAAAAATCTTTAGAAATGCGTAAATTCCTGAAGTCTGGAATGATGCAAAATGACATCACAGGTGGATGAATGGTTGGATAGGGAATTTTACTGCCCCATAGTGCATGATAATACTGAAAGAAGGGACCTAGTATAGCTACAGAAACCTTCGGTGCCACCTAAAATTCACTGCAACTTCCATCAACAAACTGCCATGTGTAAGCTATACAACTTTGTTTCCAAGCAATAGCCGTCCATCAAAGTAAAGTGCGATCGTGTAAAGTCACATCGCTTGCCGGACTTGGTGACAAATTTCACGTACTTAAGGAATAATCAGGCCACCGGTAGTGGCATAGACAGAGAATAATCATTAAGGGAGAACCAAAGTTGGTGCTAAAAAAGATTAGAGGCTACATAATACGTTTTTATTTTCAGCAAACAAAATAGAACGTCATCTACTCCGAGGAAAAAATGTACCCTAACCATACCTAACTCTGATTACTCTACCCCGTTGAAGGCATTACCAATAAAGGAAACTCCTACCTACTCAATTTACTAGTTTGAAAGGAATGATGACTGAACCTACCACTTCTCCTACTGTGGGTGATTTACACAGAGTTAATTGTTGAGTTTGTAAATTTTTGCTCTTGAAAGTCCTTAAAGGAATGAATAGAATATGTAGATGGAAAGTGATATCCCCTGGATATGCTTACAACCTCCAAAAAACGTCCCTGTATCGATTTCTCACTTTCTTTTTTCTGAATTTCCAACGCTTTGCCTTTTAAACCCTGCATTTTTTTAGAAGAGCTTATTTGATTGCAGATTTTTAGAATTGTAGGGAGTTCTACTCCTGTTCATTCCCTACTCATTGGCCCATGTTTAGCTGAGATATGCCGATTACGGACAGTTGACCACTCGAAGGTCGAGGTCATTTACCACCATATACACGCGTGATTGAAAGGGACACGAGCTCGAGGTAGCCTCAGCCATTTGGCCAATCAGTCGGTTGATTGGTCTATCATTTAGCTATAAGGACATGAAACTGTTGTGATATCCGCTACACCGCATGCGTAGAATAACAGTAATCTTGCGAGTTTTGCTTCAGCGTCTTCTGGCAATTAAAATATATCGCAATTAAATTACCAATTAACTTAACCATAATTTTATTACAAATGTAATGTGCATTAGGATGTGGTGGACAGGAAAACCTATGGCTTGAAAGTTAAGAGCGAATGTGTTCTTTGCTGTATTAATATGCTTGATCATCAGGCGGTAAGCAGCTCCTACCTCTACATAATGAGGTTCCTCTATCAAAACCGAAGGTTAAATAGCTACGTGTTAAAGAAATTTACCAAGAGCAAGGGTAAAAAATGTATGATCATCGACTTACAAATTACAACTCAGAATTTACCCTGAAAATGCAACCCATTTACATATACATTTATGCATATGTCCATGTTGTCATGGGCCAAGTCAGTTGACGATTCGTCGAAGATGAGCCTTGTGGGATACACACCCGGGACTTTAATCCATGCATACAAGGCACGCCCGTCAATAAAATATCTGGCACTAGGCGGAAGACACATCGCATTAGCTTTGAATGCAATTCCGCCTAAATGGATGATGAGAAACTCTCATAATCCTTTCTAAGCTGCCGGCTGTGTAAAGGAAACACTGCCTTACATATGCAGAGAAAAAATAAGCATTTGAGACTAAGCGAACGTGCGTGTAAGCACCGCTGGGAGAAAAATCAAGCTCTGATCTGCCCTTCTTTGCTATATCTCACATGTTTCTGCCATGTTTTTACATCATACCTTCAGTAACGTAATAGCAATATCATTTTAGTGGAGAGCCGCCATGCCTAAGCGCCGAAGTATGCCAGCATAATGCCTAATGCCTTGCAGCTCTGGCACTGAAAGGATGCAAAAGAGAACGCCGCACTTTTCTGGAACTTCCATCCATAACATTAGCTGCCACAGCTCTTGTCCTCAGCACCTTTTGCCAAAATAATGAAGCACTATCCTAAAGAAGTTTTGTGAAAAGAGCCTATATCAAGAGTGGCTCGGAGTGATTTCTGAGGCTTGCAAGATGCGGTAAACGCGTACCCACCTCCCAATCAACCTGGAAGGGATAAGTCAGTGCAGCACAGTTCTCAATATTGCCGCAAAAGAGGCTACGGACATGAAAACTTCTAGTATACAAACCAACTATATAAAAGATTTCTCGCATTTGGGGACACAAAGCGAACCATTTAGCATCGGTATCTCGACAGCAGACCCTGCCCTACATCACCCTTAACTGCAAAATCTGTATTCGTGCTTCTTTTGCTTCAGTCCGTAATTGCACATAATCCTCTTCCAGTGTCACTCCAGCTTGAATTTGTCTCCTGCCAACATGCCGGTCTTTCCATTTACTAATTATTTTAGTACTGTAAACTGGAAAGCCCCATTTTGAATTGCATTATGCACATTTTTGCAAGAGGTTGTGCTATTTTTCTTTACAGTTTTGCATAAAACTTTCCGGAATATTTGTAACTAGTTAATCTGTTGTAAAAGTAATTTATTAATTGCTTAAATCAAATAATTGCCATGTTCCCTAAATGCACTTTGCATTATCTCGGAATAGGGATGATTGTAATCACGGAATTTTCTGAAAAGAACGAGATCCACAATCGATTTCACAGACAATTTTCTCTAATTAGTTACTTGCGACCTGGCAAATCTGCCAATTCATTAACCCGTGCCCCGTGCCAGGTCCCCTGCTGTCCAGCTTTCCAACAAATCCACACTGTAAACTGCATGCATGTGTGATTTTGCAGGAAGATGACTACTGAGCATCAATCAGTAGCGCCAGCATTCTGCGGTAAAATTGCAATGACTGCAAGGCGAGATCTTCTACCGGTTTATTATGCGGCACTACGTAAGAAATTAAGCCTAATTTAAATCTTTAAGTCCTTTTACTAGCTAATGCAACCTTAAGTTAAGGGGATCCATGTTGATTACAAGTGCGATAACATATCACGCAGCAGATGTTCATTATATAGAGGCACGTAAACTGCACATCAATCATTGCAATGGTAGTGAGGTAAATTTTTAGACAAGAGGGTATTTACAATGGTGACTTTTAATTTTAAATTGGATGAAGGTGATCCTGTTAATTTTACGGCAAACCAAACTCTTCAATGCATTACATTGTGTAATAATTTTGGTAGAAGATGAGTCAGTAGGGTGTCAGGACAAATAACATACCGTGTGGCGTTTTGCAACCTCTGATAATTTAATGGCGGTGGAAATAAACTAAATTTACCCTTTGAAAATAAAAAGGTGAGCCTGAAATTTTACATATTTTGGCTTGAAATGTCCAATAATATTTTCCAGCGGTGCTTAGAAGCATGGTTTCCTGGAAAACTGCCTTACTTTTGCATTGAAGGGAACTACTAACCAAGATAAAATGCTAATAAATTGTAGTACCAAATGGTGGATTCTATGGAGAAGGCAATGGGTGACTCGAGGGTGGACACAGGTGGAGGAGGTGTGAAACCTCATCGTTGGATATGAGTTGAACAAGCCTACTAATCTGAAGGAGACAATGACGTTTGATGCTGTGGTGCAGCAACCATTCCAAGTGGATGCGGATGTGGCCTTAGGCAATTTATCAAATCACGCTACCGTCGTGCTAGGCAAGATGGAATCAAATACATCACGAATGAGCCCTCTGAAGGAGACTCTTATATCGCCACTATGACTGATGGCAAGCTATTGTCTGTAAGAAAATCTAAGGCCAAACTAACGGATAAAATGAGGAAGAAGGGATACACTGCTACGTTCTCTGTATTTGCTGACTAGTCTCCATCATATTATCACCTCTGGGTATTGACGGGACAGTCGACAACCGCATAATTATACAGGGAATAGAATACATACTTGAAAAATCAGGGTGCGATAAAACATAATTGAGTGATAGTAGATTTTTTATCGTCTACCTGAGGATGTCTGAAACGCTAAATAGCATATTTGTTTGCAGTTATTCCATAAATTCCGGTCAAAATATTTAAGTTATAGGCATTCATTTGCCTACCATTGGCCACTAATAGGTCAAGATGATATAGAGTGCAACAAATCCATGAAGGTGATGGTCATGTGGGGCCCCAAGTCCCTAGCAATCTTAGCAGCCTATACTTACGCACACGCTGTAAGAGTACAGCACTTCCATAATCTGCTTTTTGAGGTGCCACCTCCTTATTTCCCTGTTTATTAACTCGACACAGCCCAGACCAAGGCGTTATATGAAGGTGTAGTTTGTAGCAACCTCGTGCCCCAAGGAAAAATTATGCTTCACCCCTCATCACTTAATGCAAAAATATTTTGAAACGTTTGTTGTTCATTGTTTCAGTTAGCTATGGACAAATTCCCAAGGACACGTGATTAGTGCTTGGTTAACGCCACCGAAATGCATTAAAACACCCACATAATTTCAATTTAATTTGTCTATCATATTGCTCTATTCCGATCCTGAATTCGGTTCTATTTAGAATTGAATTTATAACTTGACACGGAATAAATGTAACAGTTCTAGCCTAGTGACATTAAATATGTGGCAGCGTTGTTCAGCATGCATGAAAGTGATTATTTGATGTCAGAAACGACACAAGCAACAAGCTGATAAGCTGGTGAAAACTTCTATAATTCCTAAAAATGTATTTACCTTTAATTTTTGTAAATTTAATTTTGTTTGATTATGCCGAACAATGAGCTCATGCTTTACGCCACATTTAACTCCTCACGAATGCTACCCACATGTTCTTGTTATCCACACCACGAAAAATTCGTCGTTGATGTCTAAACGGATCTCCAAAGCATACACATTGAATCGCAGCTAAAATGAATAAATTATAACTACGTAATCGTTCCTTTGCGGCTTTCTATTCTTTGCTTTATCTAACTGTGGAATATTCAAGATTGATCAAGTATAAAGCCAATAAATTAGACAGCTTGTCACGTTAGAGATCAAGGAGAATAAGCAACCGAAATACTTATACACGAAAACTTGCCAGCTCAGTATCTTTGAACAAGTTGGAATGCGCTACAGATAATTGCGGCGACAATGTTAAATAAATACCCCAAATTTATCTTAATAGCATTAATTATGTAAAAATGCGCAAATAAAAAACTTGTTCATATTTATCGCAACATCTGGGAAGTGAATTGCAGGCTGATTTAGATATAGTAGAGCTTTTTGGTTGGGCCCGTGTTATATGTCATGTGCCCATTGCGGAGAAGGTCCCTTTTATCTCCGCAGAGGTCAGTGGCTGACTATCGGGGTAGGAAACACGGGTGAAGCTGCGCCCACCCCTCCGTCAAAGATGATTTCTCAGACTGATCGCTGAATTAAAACGTCGCAGAAAGCAAACAAGTTTAGTTTATAATTAGATCTGTATATACCCACTACGGAGGTGCTACTGCCCATTGTGTGCTCTACAAATCCCGAATTCTACGTCCTACAAAATAGCCGCCATTAGACCCGGCTCCGAGGTAATGAAATAGATGTAGACCTTCAGGAAGGGTCATTTCTCGGCCTAGGAAAAAATAAATTGCCATAACACAATTCACAAACATTTTGCCTTTTTACGTCAAGGTGCTGTTTGGAAAATTTCGCAGAAAAAATAAAATGACTGCAGACGACACAGCAGTCAGGAATCTCAGCTAGTAAGAGACGGCACTTTAAATTAGGATGCAAAATTTGCTAATTTTGATCTTCCCATGCCGCTCATCCTGATTTTACCAGAGGACTGGTCGTAGTCAAAGCGGAGCGGCAACTGCAAAGGTTTAAATGGGAAGAAAGATGGGTAGTAGGTTAATGAATGAGTGTTTAAATGGGTGAACTCATCACCCTCATTTTTAAATTGCACCAGACGGGTCCTGACAGAGTGGAGAGCAGATTACGAGTATAACCTCTCACATCTCCTCCCGAATGGCGAGCCATTCCCCTATAATGGCATGTCAAGATTTTGACTTCAGACAAGACTCGGGGAGTCAAAGTTAGTAGTTGTATTTTATTTAATAGGCTAGATATCCCAAAATCGTCCCTTTGTCTACGTTTCGAATGCACGGATCAAGGCCGTAGAGCTTAACGTCCACTGACTAATGACACAATGGAATGTAAAAGACCGAACTCTTAGGTAATTTGTTTGCGAAAACTGTTTTTTTTTTATCACAGGCAAATACTTTCCCTTAATTAAAAGGACGAAAGTGTTGCTGTGCGTAGCACAGTGCAAGTGCTTCACATAGAAGAGAGCCAAAGCCGAAGATCAGACTTTTTCTGGATGAGGCCATACATTACTTTCGCTAAACCCAAGTTCACAAGTTTCTCCGCTTTTAAAATGGTAGAATGTTGGACGCAAAATAAATCCAAAATCGCCATTTTGTTAGTTCTTATTCCTTTCGGCTGATATCCAATACAGTCACAGGCAGTATCCACGTCACTTCTTTCCTCAGAAATCTAAATTTAGGCTATACTGCCGACTAAAACTTCAAATACCCTAATCAGTGTCTCCTTTCTCTTTGCCATATACAGGACCGCCACCTTTTACTTCTGACAGCCAGCGCAAAACCCAGCGTCAACTTCTAGGAAGATGCTATTAGCTAGCGGACAGATTTGTTTGGAAACAGGTTATCTTTTTTGTTAACTCTTATTTTTTGTAGGAAAGAGGGAACGACAGGAAATTTGATGAGATTTTAGATTTAATGCACAGAATTTAAGCAATTAGGGAAATGACCATACGAACCGTGGGGAAGGAGACCATAAAAGAACCCTCCTTTTCAGCATTTCTTGGGTAAACTGCTTCCCACGTTGGTAGTTTCTGAGTAAATTGTTTTAACGGTGGTAATCTAATGTAACAGGCGACCACAGCCGAACTAAATAGAAGGACATCTAAAAGTTCGATTTCAGAGTTCGACCTTAAGTCCAAAGCCCTTTTAAATGTCCGCAATATTTAGAAATTGCTTTTCTCTCTCCTACGTATAATAGCTTACCCGAATGCCAAAAAAGATAGAGCATTTTTCCGTACACCATGGTGGAGCGATGTTTCACCTGCTTACCACCGATTGTGCATATGCACCATAAAACACTGGTAGAGTGATTCGGTCCGTTGGTTAAATACTCTTAATTGCATTCCGCTATTAGCCTCGTGTTCTGAACCCTAATTTTTGACCTATTGGTTGAGTTGCACGTGTCTGCTCTACTCACCACGTTTAAACCGGGTGATTTTTATGGCAATAAGTATGTCTGAGAAGAGGCTTGCCAAAACCATATTGACATTAGGGGTCTACTAGAACCCTGAGTTTTAAGAAATAACCAATTAAAGAGCAAGCCAGACCCCAATGAACAATTGCCAGCGAATTTCACTACACACACAGTGATTCATATTTGCTTGTGGATGAGATAGTCCTTCACTTTGGGTTACTGTTGTTGAAAAAGGGTTCCATTAAGCGCAGTTTCCATTTGAGATATGATGGCAAGAAAATAGCCCATTCTTTAGCTCAATTTTTTGACAAATCCTTCTCTGATTGCTATCTTGTCTCGTGGTTTATTGCAAATCGTTGGAAGGTTTATGGGAGGCAAGGTAGAAATATTACCGAGGCGCGCAGAAGGGGAATGTTAAAGGCATTTAAGCCCTATGCTTAAAAATGAAGCTCCCTTTAGGCCAGTGTTCCTACCGCTATCAAGGACATCCGAGGTGGCCTGTGTATTGGCCTCCCCCAATTCAGTTCCCCAAGAGGATGAAACTACACATCCAGTGGAGTTGCCTTGAGAGTTAGGTGGTGTTACGGTCAAGCATCTTCTCATTTGCATACAACTTTGATAACTGGCGCAATTAGCTTATGCGTGTTTACCTACAAAACAACACATATTCCACCCTAGTATTATAGATTCTTTCGTCTTGAGGAGAGACCTGGAGAGCAGCATTTTAGCAAAGGGTCAAAATGAATTGGAAAGGATGTAAAAGAGCATACCTTGCCATTTTGGTCAACCACAATCGGCCTTGGGATTAAGTGGAGGTGACCGAACCTCATCAGCGGTCTGTTTTTAAAGACCCATAACGAAAGTGTCTACCAATAGTTGGTGTAGGCAATAAAGTAACAGTAACAAAATTGCAATTGCTTCGTTGTTCCAACTTAACATACAGGCAAAGTCATAACTCACAGATTGGCTATCATTGTGCAGATCAGGAGGTTGTAGCTAACTTGTCTACAATGCACAAAACAGTGACATCAATTCTTGAGTACAGACAGTAGTTGTTTCTAACGTCATTGTAGCCCAATCACCTCGTAAATTTCGTAAAAATGGTACTGACCTTCATCATGTTGCAGCAAAGGGTATCACAAAAAATCTGGCCCTATATTTCAAACAACTGAATTAGACAAACACTCTCGAGTTTATTGGCGGCAATGGCGTTGTTTATTGTTTACTTCAATCAAGAACCTTAAGGAGTAAAACTTCTAGCTTAACTGATTTCCAAGGCCGAAGAAGCGTCTCTTCAAATTTGTTATAAGTTACTCAATAGGTCATGCGGCTAGAAAATATGAATGTGACTATAAGATGGACAGATAATGATACAGATCTTTAATTTGAGGAAGCAAAGTAAAACAACAGTATTAGAACCAAATTCCAGAGCCGCATGATGTGATAGAGCACTTCATTTATGCCTAGGTAGGCTAAAAAGGAAAGGTTCTGAGGAATGATGTGTAAGCGGATGACACTAATGTGCCAAATGTGAGCAGATGGCAATAGGTTTCTCTGTTTCCTTTACTGAAGTTATAAAATCGCTTCTTGTAGGAACGCTTACGGACGCCCTCCTCCCTGAAGTATACGAGCATTCGGTTGACTATTTACAAAAGAAACTTTTATGAGCGACAGCATTTTATCTGAAAGGTGATCACATCCTCTTTTTGTAGGTGTGTGCTGTATCCAAGACAACATTCTTCAGTAGGAATATTTTTTCTGTTGAGGTTTGAGCTACCTTGGATAAATCTAACTCATTAAGGGCGAGCAGCAAGAGCCTCGCCTTCACAAACACCTAGGATAGTGCAAAATCTGCACTTCAGGGGACGTGAGCTCTATGACTGTGGAGATAGCGATACTGCCTCAACTTCATTTTTATTTCCTATTAATGACGTTCTTTCTAGCCGTGGCTGCCACCTCTCTTTAACATTGTGTGCTCCACTGAACACTAGCAAAACCCACTAGTGGTGAAGGATTATGACAGATCGAAATATCGGTTTTAGTCCGACTTCTGGAGATGAAAGGCTTGATAACTGTGCGAATTATGATTAGCTTGTGTCTCTTTGAGACAGGATTAAATATAGGATATTTCAAAAGTCCCTTATATATAATCTCCATCTCACTTTTCACAAATCCGGTAAGGTGGAGCACCCAGGCCTTAATTCTCAGGCACGGAGAGATTGAAAAGGCAAGCTAGCGGACTTATAATTTTGCTCTACCAATAAAATCTACCCAATTAAAGCAGAAAATTCAAGGACAGCAGCTTAGAAGGTACCGTACCCGGACGCTTTATCGAAGGACCGATGTACGGCATAGATGTTTAACATCAATGCATGTTGCTCCAAAATCATTTTTACACTTTCACTTCAATGCTCTCTAAATATAAAGCTTCTCCTGTCCAATTTCCTTCTGTCTTTCATTCAGTGATTTAAAACCTGTTTAGTAGTTGCTGGAATGAAATCGCCACTACAGTCGCTGCTTCCCCTTGCAATGCGTCCTTCTTGAGTAACGCTTATATGAAGAGGGAGGCGGTGGGGGCCGAGGCGAAGGAGGTTACTACTAATGAACCCCACTTCGAATGACCCACGAGCCATTTCGGATTTCAAAGATGCCATTGAGTTTGATGCACCATGAGCAGGAGCACATAGAGAAAAAATGTATAAAGGGATAAGTTCGGTGGGATTATGAGTCTTTAATTTCAGACCTGTGTCTATCGCCTTGTGCAGAGGACTGTAACTATGACACGCCGTACGAAATTGGTCGGGGCGGCTAACTACTTTAAAGTTAATTTTGGCATGACATCTACTTGGCTTGGTCACAAAAAGTTGTCCAAATTAGCTGCCTCAAATTTCACACTCTGGACTAATTAAGTTTACACTCAGTTGTCAGTGTCGTATGGGTAATGGCACAAATTTCTCAAGTTTAGCGATGTGACTCTCATGACGAGAATTTAAAGCTATGCTCATATCATCTGTTCAGAGCTTGACCTTAAATGCCCACGCATATTCATAATGGAAGTCATTTTTAAAACCCTAGTTCCCTGTGAGAGGGTGCTACGTCGGCAGCTAAGAAGCAGTTGTAACGTGATGCGAAGGGAAGTCAATATTAATGCATTTTCTGCTCAATATCTATAAAAAAATCGGTGATTTTGGGCAAGATTTGAAGTTTTGAATGCTACTTACATAAAATAAAATTCAAAGATATCTAGTGATAAAGGACAGGAAGTAGAAAGACGACAAGATATTCCAGCGTCATAAATTCCACCAAATCAAATATATCTACCAACACACGAATGAGCAGCAACGTTTAATTTACCGTGGAGAAGAAACAGTGCAATTTATCCTCTTCTTGTGTTTTCATTTGTGGAGGTTCACAGTCAACATACTGACTTAATTTTAACCTGTCAAGAGTGATTAAGAAAATCCACCCAAGTCTGCCACAAATCAGCAAGGATGTACCCTCGTAATAACAGCCCTAGCAGTCGACAAAAGGTACACGGGATCACCAAAACTCACCTCGACAACAATAAAGCAAAGTAGGCTGGATAAGTGGGCGGTTGATACAAGCTCTCGATAGCATCTAATCCACCTACTGAGGCATGAGACCGTGCTCGTGAATAGATTGCCTCACTATCACACGGGAATGTAAGAAAACATAGGTTACACAGTAATGTACTGCCTGCAATGAAACCAAAACAAGCCGATTTAATGGGAACTGAGTTATCTTGATGGCTACTAGTGGCATGTGTCATTCGCAGCAATCAACGATTTCAGAATTCCGGTGTAATCCACCCAAAATTCGCCAAAAAACGTGGTATAATCCACTAATAATGAAGTCCTCTCAGACGCCACACAGAGGGAAGTGTATTTTTGAAGTAAGGGTAAAAAAAACTTTACACAATTGTTGGTGGAATATGCGTTTGCTTCTTATGCCTAAAGGTTCTTATGTGTGATTAACTTCCGTCTTATTATTATTCTCAAAAGGACGTCGGTGAAGTGTTTCTTTACTTCGGTAGGCTCTTTTAGCCCAGAGATCTGCTGAGGCTCGTCCAGACACAATCGTAGTGAAAATGAGGAGTGAAGCAGGATGCCTTACTGAGGGTTCATCCAAGACTGCGATCTAAAGGCGTTTGGCTTGATGAACTAGATTAGCCAGACGAAGGTGAAGGTAAACCACCTGAATGGCGGTAATGTAGAAGTCAGCAGATCTTATTCACACGCTCTGTGTTTGACAGGCGTCTAATGAAACAACCTTTAAAGTGCAAGGATTTGTGAGCATCACTGACCCATCCTAGGATGGTCTGCCCCACCTCGTCACCTGGCATACGTTAATTTCTCAATGCGTTGACCAGGTGCCCAGGGTCTGACGCTACGTTGGCTTGATGATCTTTGTACAGTGGGCTGGGAAAGGAACATCCACAACTGGAATTATCACCAATAGGTGTACGCACGGCCACCTTTGAAACACTTTCCCTATTCAACTATATTGCTGCAAAGCGTCCGAGCATCCACTCATCTCACTATGAGTGCCCGCTCTTGTCTGGACTGGCCCAAGCAAGAAATGGGCCCCAACTGGAAGTAAGAAGTCACACTTGGCACTTACCACTGCACAAAGGACTACCGACTCGTCACCTTGCTTACAAAAGGTCAAACTATTTTAACCAACTAAAGGCCTTCCCGCAAATGGAGAAGCTGTTATGCCAAATTCAAATGTCTTCTTAAATGTCATCTTATTATGTGCAGATATGGCTTAAAAACAATACTTCTGATCAAAAAGTAAAAGCTGAATTCAACGTATTCACTCATGCAGAATATCTAAACCGGCACAGTGAAGAAAATAGTCAAACTCTCCATCAACCACATTTTTGAAGATGACCTCACAAATTTCGACTCTAACATGAGAGAATGACAGATTGTTTCGTGAGCTCACTGATATTTGTCTCTTGCATTAACCCGACTCATGATAGTTGGACTGGTGCATTTAACGCGTCCGTGAGACGTCCACCATCAAGCATGGCAAGGACTACCATGCTGTCTGCTAAAAGGGAGTGCTGGCAGCCCCATGAACACCTCCTTTACGAAAGGTGGACTTTATGCATATCCTTGCCTTTGCAGCGCATTCTCCTTATTTATTCTGCCAACCCGTTAGGCGAAATTCATATTAGTACTTAACTAGGAGCGAGGATCTTGATACAAGCATTCTCTCCTCGTCTAATCCGTGATTCTTTCGTACACTCTTTCTTATTTGCCCGATTGATTTAGGTAAGAGAAGTTTGTCTGTTCGAGCAGCATGAACGTTGAGGAAGTTGTTTAGACCGAAGTGGTAGTTAAGATTTTTTACAAACAAATCCAAACTAGTTACAAGGAGCATAGATATTTTCTTCTTGATATAGCCAAATGCATCATTCCGCTCTTATTTCCTCGAAGCCGGCTCCAAGTTAATGAAACAGATGTTGGCCTTTAAGTTTCCGGCCTAGGAAAAAATAAACACCCATAACAGTCTATAAATATGATGTCTTCACTTTCCGGCGCTCGTGAGAAAGTTGCACAGGAAAAAAGTAAAGTGACTCCGCAGAAGATGCGGCGATTAGACATCTCGGACAGTGAGTGACGACGCCCTTAATAAAAAGGGAATGGCTTGTGGAAGCCTACCCTAGTTTTTGCTTAATCTAGTGCCATCTAATTGACTAAAATTAACAACATCATCTCTTTGGTAGAGTTTTAATTTAAAGTGGCTCCTTGTTTGGGCTTCGATAAAATTAGCCTAAAGCTGATCCTTTTATGGTTCCAGCTCCATGTTTTAAAGCGATTTTTACAACTACCATAATTCGGGCTCCTGAGAAGTGAAAAATCCAAAGACTTTCCAGAAACCTTTCACTGATCATTCCTCTGCGATGACAAATAGTGGGATCCGATGTCAAATCATGATGGGTTTCCTGTCCATCCACTGTTTCAGCCTTCTGAGAAAAACTTGAATGACAACTGGGTTGCCGTCAAGATTAGCAGTTCTCCCCTAACAACTTCAAACGTGGATATGTTTGGTTAAAAGTGTTACATTAATTCTTTTTCACTAATAGAATATGCTGTCCCTAGATAGGCAAATTTGTGTTGGACGAGAGATGTTTGACACATACTTATGTAGTGGTTAACAAAAAATTTTGACGTAGATGTATGGAATGATCGAACAAGCTCGATCATTCTCGGCACAAGTTGCTGCTATGACAATGTCAAAATTTTGCTATTCTATTAGGCCTTATTATGCATGAAAAGATAGGTATGCATCAGTTTGCCGGTGCGGCAGACTGTTTTGCTTGGCTATTTTTTTGCTTACAGAGACCTCTGATGGTTCAAGCTTTTGTCCTTTGCGTATTTTAAGGCCCCATTTTCAGAATCGTTTACTTACTTTGTGTAAGATTTATCATTTACTGATCTAATTTATTATAAGTTCCCCTGATTCTACTAATATTTTTACCATTTAAACTATTTTGCGTATGTAGTATTGGTTTGTTCTCATAGCATTTCTCTTCGGCTGTGAATACTCCATTGACAAATGAAACTTGAAGAGCTTTCATGATTTCACGGTTATAGATAACCGTTGTTAAAAGTGACGGAACAGCAAAAGATGGTTAAAGTTATTTCATTGGTACGTTTTTTTGATTCATCAACATTAAATCCAATTTAAGCCGTAACAATGCGCCCTGATTTCTAAAGCAATTTGCGGAACCGTTAAAGCCAAACCTTCTACGACCTGTTTGTATTAGTGTAAAAAATGTTTTAATAAGGCCATCATCGTTTATTTCGCTTTAAGGCTTCTGCCATCAGAATGTTGGGAGAAAATCGACCACAATTACAACTGTTGATCAAAAACCAAAATATTTAATTTCTGGTTTCAACTCACGATAACCCTGCATCTTCCCCATTTCATTCACCTTGCCCAATCCTTTTGGAATGCGATGTGTTGCAAGTCGGCGCCGCAAACTGCTAAGTAGTAATTCCCACGTATATATGATTCGCAGGCTCGGATGAGAAAATTGGGACTCCACATACCTGGCACGTTGGTAAAAATAATAATAATAATAATAAGGAAGTCCAAAAAATGCGGTTTTCGTGTTTGTCTGCTTGAAAAAATATTTTTTTCCACCAGCAGAAAAAACTGATGCATGACTTCAATATCCCACGTGGAACAATCACAGAATGCGGTGCTCTCTTCCAGATTCCCAAAGATCGAACCAACAAAACTTGGCCTGTTTTGAACGAGAAGTATCTCCAAGGAAAGCAGAAGCTTTTTAGCCTACGTACAACCAAAACGCCCGAATAAACTTTATCTGATGCTACAGGCGAATGTGAGCACTTATGCAAACTAAAAATAGCCGAAAGAACTCAGTTGTACTCTCTATAAAATAATGAATTCATTTTAATTTTTCCTCATTCCTTATGCACTCAAATCCGTCAGCTTTTACAAATCAGTTTATTAGTAGCTGATTTGTCGGTCTTGATATTTTCTCCCATTAATTTTGAGTCGATCATTTTTGCTCAAAAATTAGCCTTAAATTTCGATAGTTTAGGCGATGATTACCTCTCTTAACACCTTTGCCTTCTGAGTCTCCGAGGCAAGATCTATCGCTACAGCCGAGATACTTTGGGGCTCGAATGTGACGTCAGTTGCCATGACTGTTCCAGGTCAAATCAAATGTGACCCCAAAAAGTAAAGCATAGTCGACACCTGTATTAGCGTTTCAAATATGTTTGTAACACGCAACCCATTGCAATCATTTGACCGTATTTTGATAAAGATTAAATGCCTTCCTCACTTGTTGTGAGACCTTCGATAAGTAAATCGGCGCTTCGTGCCCATATGAATCTGGTAGCGACCATTTTAAAATTGTCGCACATTTATTTTGTATTTGTTCACCTTAAAGTAAACCATTACAAAAGGGAATATTTTGGCCTCTTCTAAGTGCAATGTTCTACTGCCGCGCTCTCACTCTAGCCAAATTTGGGAGAAACGTTCCATGGGTTGGTAGTGAGTATAAATATCGAGGACGGGCCATATTTCTAGATTAATCCAAAATATTTAGGAAATATTGAGCAGAAAATTAAAAATTAAGTTAGCTTTGACTAGCACACATCTACGCCCTATAATATTTGCAAACAAACAATTTCCCGCCTTAATGACCTTCCTGCGTTTGGGTGAGTTTCATCCAACTTTGAGGTGACACTTTTACTCCCCTGATGGCGACACAAACACCACAACCTCAAATTCCGCTACCACAGCAAAGCCTCAATCGACAACACGTAAATGGCAATCAGAAGCAAGTTGACTGTATGTAATCAAGGCTCTTAGTTTATTTCTACCAATATATCTTCTCCATAACAAGTGAATCCCTATTCTAGAATTTAATAACACCCAGGATGCGTTCTTGGTCGTAAAGCAACAAATTTTAAGGCATCTTTAGGAGAAGTGAATTGCTTTACTTCTATTTTAAGGCCCAAACCACATTGAAACAAAAAAAGAAAGCAGATCTTAGTCCCTAATTCTAATCAGTAATTTATTGTTCTGCAACATGATTTATTTTACAGAGAGAAAGCGTTGAGAAGGATCCCGGTAATTGTAATACACTTTGCGACAAGTAGAATGGTGAATTTTGCGTTTGCCCTGTAGATTAAAAGAGATAGACGCTCATGATACGAGGAGTTCAGGAGAGTCAAGAGTAGATCCACAATGATAACAAACCTTGACCGCTTTGAAAATGACTATTCCCACTAGCGTGGCAATAAGGGCAGGGCCACGTAATGACAATGGGAAATGTGATTGGTTCTCCCAGAGCAGCATTGGCAATGAACCATGAGGACTGGGCCAGACTTCAGAGAATGCCACTGAGAAGGGAGGTAATGATGGCCTGTTAGGCAGGAAACCAGGGTTGGTTGCACTTCACCAGAGCGTAAACCACAAAGATGACCGTTGAAGCCAACCAGATTCCAACAAAGTTGACAAACACGTAGTCCACACCAGCTTGGCTAGCGTCCTTTACCATACTCTGAATGTAGATGGTGGGGATAAAAGTGTTTCCGTAGAAGGAACCAGCTGCATTGGCGAGAAGGGTACCGCTACAGGGGTGAGAGACTAGCATTTTAGTCACCGTTCCTTCTAGATGACAGAGGATAGGATTTTACTAACAGAGCACGTCTAACACCAGAGAGCAAATGACGGGCCGGGACACAGGCGCAGGGACAGCATTTACGTCCACCTTCATCATCCAGTTCTGGCTTTTGCAGCTAAGCCTTGTGTGCACGTGGTTGCACGTTGACTCCATAAATACATCGGACATAAACAACTGTAAGGAAGGTAGAATCACATTAATGCGTGAGGATGTTATAAAATAAAAGCAAGGTAATTCAGGCAAGGGTTTACCTGTGGTGAAAGCAAGAGTTCGACTCGCTCAGAACGTGCCTGTTTCATTATTATTATTAGATGTAGCTGAGTCGAACATGAATCGAACTGATGTTGGAGCCAAGCGAATGACACGTCGTGACACGGTTTTAGTGAGGTCTGTGACAACCCCCACTCCCACTGAGGGACACTGCGTATCCACACCCACCACGTGTGTGTGCTTGGGTCAATTTCAAATGAGTCATTAGGTTATGTTGACGGCTTTACACGGTTTCACAGCATTCATCGTGCCCCAAAATGACAATGAGAAAAGGAAATGCTAGTTCTACCACTGCTGAACTGACTTCGAAAACAGTCGTATTGCTTTCTGCTTACGATTCATCCTGCATCAACTTACTCCATACTTCGGTGCCTAATTCGATTGGCGAACACTTGTTAGCATCTCATGGCACCGGAATGTTGGAGACAAAGAAATGCAATGGGTGTGGCTGTGGTATCCATTGTATGGATTCAACTCAGCAAATTGTGTGGTGGTGTCATTCGTTTGCATATGCACAAGTGATGAGGTTTGCCATCGTACAGCATTTTAAAAGAAAAGAAAAATCACTTTAGTGGGTACTGAGGCCTCATTTTCTATGCACCTCGGATGTACAAACCGAGTGAACGGGAACAATTAATGCAAATGTCTCAGTTAATGGAATCATGCGGCGAAGGCAAACTTGAAATCATCCCCAGCAGAGTTTGCTTTCATAAACTGCATGCTCATCTATAAATTTCTGTTTTAAACTGCTTTAACATTCCAATTTCCCATGTATTCTGTGAGCTTTTCCCAGGGGCATCGGGATCTTTGACGCAAGTCGCATCCACCACTTCCTCTTGCATAGATTGCACCCACTCAAATATACAGTAAAACCTTCGAGTGCTTTGATAAAATAGACATTTCATTTCCTCACCCCTTCTCAGTACACCAACGTAAAGAGAAATTTGCAAGTACTACAGGGTAGGACAAGGCGATTTGCTATATGGGTGCCTCGATCCAAAGCAGTATGTGGAAATTCCACCCTTCCCTCACTCACCCACTCATTCAAACTCTCACCGCTATAACCAATCTGTGGGTAATACAATGCATGACTAATTGGAATGAGAGTTGTAATAGCATGCAAAGGCATTGTTATGGAAACATGGCCCCTATCCTCTTCGGTGTCTCACGGTGATGTCTATATCATGGACTTATTCGGACATGTTGTGCAATGTAAATTATAGGCCATTGAAGAAGTCAAAGTGAAGACAGAATGAGCTACAAGGTCGGAAATGCCGCAATCTTGATCACACGCAATGTCAACCTTCAAATTGATAATCCGAGTAGGCCTCTTCATTTAACCGTTATGGATATGCGGTTTCGCATTAACCCAATAAGCGTAGTACTGAAGACTGGAAGCACCAAACATTCATGATAAATGAATTGAGGTGAAACTATTAACGAGTGATGCATTAAAAAAACCACCAAAGCTTTATATCCCTCTAAATACTTGAAATTTGATGACGCAGATCTTTTGCAACCATCCTCATCTATTTGTCTTTTGATGTGTTTCATACTTACAAGTAGAAGTTGTACATTGCAGAGCAGGCGTGATCCCATCCACAGCCAGAAGATTGTTGAAATATTCTGCCGAATTTCTGTTACGTTGTCGGCTTCGTTTGCGGAGCCCACACATTATCCACATTTCCGCAGTTGATAGGGGACTTCTTTTGTCATCCACTCCTCAATACAGCAGTGTACCACACATAAGTCACACAATCATTTCACAGGGCAATATTTAGTCACTCGAAGGCCGCTTAAGTGGCAAATTAGACAAATTTAATACAATTAGGCCAGATCCCTAACGCAACGACTACCAGAGGAATGGTTTTGTACTCAAATCACGTACGTTTTCACTAGCAGTATACGTGACAGTGGTGGTGAAGCCATCGACGTAACCACTTTCAAATGTGCTTAGAGGGCTATGCATTTTCATATTCGGCTACTGAGATGGTAAGCCTTGTATAAGGGACAATCACACAGGCCTGGTGATTAGGCCAGTTTAGATTGACTAACACGGAATGAACCAATGTGCTAACAGCAAGGTGAGGTCAATCCACCCCCTCCCCCAGTAGCTATTTATTTAAACATCTGCTATACAATCAATCTAAGCTGGCATCTCACGATGATGGTAGGTTGCGCTATCCTCTACTTAGTCCTCCTTATTTACTTACTCCTCGTTGTGTCCCTTCATTTGCTCCTTTGCTTATTTCTTCCTTCCTCAAATTCACTTTGGCAGTTTGCACATCACTCACAACTGTAAATATTCTAAATAATTTAGGCGCAAAGTACTTCGCAACACAAAATCACCGACCTGCCACATCAGGCAAAATTGAAAATATGCGAATATCTGAGAGATCGGGATTTGATCGATCTCGGCATGAGTCTTCCAAGTTGGAGGTATATTATTTTATCATCGCAATTCTCTACCGTCATATATCAGCACATTAACCAATGGCCGTGGCTGGACAAGCGTCTCTGCCGACTGCTCTTTCCACAACCCTCACATTCTACTTCTCAAGATGCGTTAGAAGAGATCCCTTTGACTTTTGAAAATGTGTTTGAATTCATCCCTTTGTCTATTCAAAATGCGTTTGAAGCCATGCGATATCAGGAGAAGCAAATGGACTCTTATTCTCGCTTCTTATCCAGCCTAACGGGAAAAAATGATCACGGAACTGTGTACTTCCGCATTATGCCAAACACAAATGAGGTTGAGATGTCGCCCATGGAGTTATTATTACGGCGGAAAGCAACGGGAATTAAAGATTGTCGGATCAGCCCCTTGAACAAGTTATCATGGCGTATAATTAGCTCTTCCGTATGTGGAAAAATACGTGAGTGTGATTCCTCTCATGAAGTAGGGATTAAATCCTTTCAAGGGAATCCAGGGAAACTTCAATCTTACGACTGCATAATCTACCTGATGGATACGAGGTGGATGTCAAACAACGATCTGATTTCCACCTTGGAATCTCTAGCACCCCACCAAATACTTGTCATTGTAGTCGTTGAAGAATCGAGGAAAAAAAAGAAGTGTATGGTGCAGCGTTTTGTGGAAACCCTTCGGATCCTTGGTGTCTTCGGCAACTCTCCACTGACCTCGGCGCCAACGAATTGGCGACTGTGGTGCATCAAACGCAGCCGACGTAAATTTATCAAAAAATGGTTTAGTGTGTTACAATGGGGCTATTATGACGTAATCTGCAGGCGACTTGAGAGTAGTCAAAATGGCCGCTCCATACCCAC